AATGAGTCACATCGCTTACGCATAGACGTTATACTACACCGTACTATCGTCGGCTGTCTGAATCACTTCCGGTCGGGTGCGCCATCTAACGGGGCCCGCCAATCAACATATACCATCAACCCGTTCAAACTTCCCGCCGTCTGATCCACCAATCAGAGCACGCGGTGGATCTAGCGGTTCCCGCCAATCAACATATACCATCAACCCCGTTCAAATTTCCCGCCGTTTGATCCGCCAATCAGAGCACGCGGTGGCTGTGGTGGGCGTGGCCAAAAAGTGGAAGTGGTGGGGGGCGCCCAGAGTGCACCAGTATCTACTATTGGCTACTATATGGCTATTGAATTACTTGCGCAGCAAATTTTATTGTGATTATCGTGCAAGGTAGTTACGCAGTTTGTACGGCCTTCGTATTTCATTCATATTTTAATAATGATCAAAAGTATGTTTAGATTTTTAAGATGAAAAACTCACTTATCTGCGTTAAATCTTCCACAAATCCTATATTTAGACACAATTACACTAATCTTATCACTTTATATCTGTAATGTCGAACTGAAACATAATTAATTAATTTTCAATAGAGGAATATATTTTTGCCCAATATGGCGGGTATGTACGTATATAATTTTGGCATCGTCCATGTTATGTTGTCTTTGGTTTATTAGAATATTTTGACAAATCTCAAAAAATGAAATACGGACAGAGTCCAATAATTTACCCAGAATTTCTACCAGATCTGTGTCACCTGTTTGAACAGTTAATAAAACCTTTTAAACCAATATGCATGTCTTAAAATATTGCTTATGGCATTTTAACTAAAAAGAAGACAGCTGAAAGTTAGTTTATGGTGAAGCTGTATACCAGCATTTTTAGCAACAAATGTCTGCTGAGCACAGCAATTTTGTACTATAAAAGTTGTAATATTGTTGCTAATGTACAGCCTTTAACAGTTACTAAACGACAGTTGTATAAGTGCTTCCGTTGGGAGAAATTTTTTGGCTAAAGTAGTAAATGTGCATGTAAATGTGTTGTATAAACGTTACTATGGATGCCACAACACAACTATTTTCACTACCGCGCAAGTATGCCGTAAAAATAGTTGTATAAACGTTTATGCAACCGTTCAAAATTTTACCTGTAAGGTGTTGTATAACTATGCTATGAGCATATTTTAAACACCTCATTTTAGAGCAAATTTGCTGCAGAAAGCAAATTTGCATTCCATACAACATTAATCCAGCATTTCGGTGTTCAGGCAACAACAATAGAGAGCTTTTGCGGCTGAACAGTTCTTTTACCAAAAAAGCTAGCACTACTTTGCTAGTTGGGCTGTGTTTGGGAGTATTAAACTGTAGTGTTTGCTGGGTCCTCAAGCAGAGACAACAGGCAGATGTCCATGCTGGTGGTCTTCTCTCCAACTCTCCAACTCTCTGGCATAGATCGGCACGGGTATTACGTTTCTTGAAAGATTACATTTTGTCGTTTTTTTTTGACATTTCGTAGGTTTTTGGAATCATAACGTGGGCTTTTCTACAAGCCATTAACTTAGCACAAGCTGTTGTACACTTGTTGTGAACTCATTTTACCTAGTCTGCAAGATGAGATTCCGTCGGTCTTTTTCACGTTTTTTATGTTTTTTAATAATCACCTTGCCGCTTGGAAGTCTGAATTCCTGTATGTAGAGTGCTGTCATCAGCAAAATTGCGGATCGGATTGATCGTAAAGGAAAGAAGGTCGGTGATATGTTGATATGATATGTCAGCGATATTGCGGATAACTGACCGGAAGTTCTTTCTAAAATGCCTAAAGAAATATATACTTTCTGTAGCCTCTTTTCTGGAATACATAAATCGAAAAGAGAATCTAAAATTGCCGATAACACGAAAATCGCCCATTTTTATCGCAAGTGCCTTTAATATGACACATTTTAGGAATAAATTTTATCGAATTGGTCCCAGTAGATGCGCGTCTTCAACTCATATCTGTTAGACTCCACTTTGAGGTCTAAGTTCAATTACCTTCGCTGTCATGTCCGATGCCATATCTAATTGTTTGGAAGCGATTACTCCCACCGCCATAACACAATAGGCTCACTACCACCCCCTTTCCCCCTGTTCTGCCCCTTTTCCCTCCTATCTCCTCCATGCCCGCATATCAACAAGCGTCAAACGCGATACCACGCAGGTTATTTGAAGGACGTTCACCTGAAGCCATTGTCGTAATTGTAGGTGAGTAGCGTAAATGGTTAAAGGGCTTCGAATAGCTGGAACAAAGTTACTTATATTGAGCTAGGTATAGCATAGTTACGATACCGCTACACTCTTATATTCGTGTCGAGGTTAAGGTGCTATATAATCACATATACAAGACAAAGAAAAAAGGGCACCTGGTAAGAATGTATAAACTCCATAAAGTCCATGATAGATATTTTGAAGCCTGATTTTCCAATCGCAGATTAACTTTCAAGTTAAGTAACTATAAGTAGGATCAACTGTTAATGCTCGTAAGTCCCTTTTTTCAAGTTCTGGTTAACTAGCCCATGACTACTGATGCAGCATCGCTGCTATTACGTTTAAACAATAGTGTTTTGCGCACTTTCCCGATAGCATTAAATATTTATTAAATATTTTTAAAAAATGTTTGTTAAATATTTGTAGCGACAGATTTCTTAATATTTAATAAATATATGTTTTATATGTTCATAGAATATTCATTATAGATATTTGTAGTATATATAATTTATATATTTTTGCGATATTTTTTCCAAATATTTAGAAAATATATGAGGAAAGATTTTTAAATATCAGTTTTATATTTTGATGAAATATCTAATATTCTTCCTGAATATGTATCTAAGAAATATAAAAAGCAACAGATTAATCTAATACATATTTTCAGTGTTCGGCTTGCCATTATCCTATTGGTCGCTCGGGGTCACCGAAAATATTTAATGAATATCTTATAAATAATGGAGTTTTAATATTTTCCATTGATTGAAAAGTAAATATTTGATGATTATTATAAAAGAAATATTGTTTTCAAAATATGTATTAGAAATTTTTAATAAAAATACTATATTCCAAATATTTATTAAATATTTGTTTAAGATAACTAATATTTAAGTTAGATAATAATATTAAATTTTGAATAAATATTTAATGAATATCTCGTGCTATCGAGTTTCGTAATATTCGGGTATGGGTTTGTAACTCACTTGGTAATATATTATAGTACATAGTAATCGAATAATGATTCTCAAGTGAACTTTTACTTTGGAGTACTGTGAAGCTTTATTTTTAGGACTACTAAATTATTACAGACATGTTGATGACAACCGAATAATTTCTAGCCCCGTTTTCTGCGTCAGCAATGGTTTAAAGGTAGCCCACTTATAGTGGAAATTAATGTTTTCTGCTAATTTTGAGTACTTTTTCGTGGCCAGATAATGTAAACAAACAATGAACTATGAGAATAACAAGAGGCAACATTCTTATTCCCAAGGCTTTTGCACGGGTAAAGCGCACCCGTGCCGTTCCAGAAAGAAAGATTACTTTGTTCTATTTTCGAACGCATGAAACAATAATTACGAATGCTAAAATTTTTACAGAGTAATACAAAGTACACAACACATGTAACAATTTACGAACGTAGCCCTGTGACCATGTTCCGTGTTCGTGACAACTTATCTCACTGACAGGCCAAGTAAGTTGGGCATTGCGGTTTAAAATTTTTTAGCTAATTGATAAATAGTTAAGAGTTATCTTTGGGTTATCAGTAAATTGTTAGTTAACTTGTGATTGAAAAACTAGGCCATGGACTTTGAGCTCCAGTAATGAGAATTTTTCTAGTAAGCCAGGAACTAGGTAAATTTTTCCTACAATTTGGCAACAGTAATTTTTTTGTGATGCCATTGAATTATTGCTTCCTAATGATAAGTTCAAGTTGGCGCCATGGCAGGACTGGATAATTTCCAGCCATTTTGGAAAACATGTATGATCGAAAATCTTGAAAACCATCGATCCTATGTTAGAAAACGAAAGAAACAATTTTGTGGGGAATTAACGTAACTTCTTACGCCACTGGGATATTCGTGAAGAATTTCGAAAATGAGATATTGTTTTTTGAGTCTTATATGAGATCTACATCACGGAAAATCATGTCACTTACTTACATCGGTCTGTCTATCGGCGTGTCTGCCTGTCGGATTGTCCACTAGTACTAACTTGAGAAGTACTGTACTTTGATGAAATTTTCTTACAAGGTCGGTACTACTCGTATGTCAAGGAAGAAAAAGCTTTGTAATTTTTTAAAATCATCCATTGGCGATGGACGTAAACTCCAAAAAATAAATTACGTTTTAGAAGGTCCTGATCAGTTTCAGAAAAGAATTGTATATTTATTTAGTATATTTATACGCCCCCATCCATTCCATATATACGAGTATATTGCCTCCAACGTTAAATGTGATCGGTTGCAGGTAAGCTGCTTTGTTCTCCAGAATGCCAAAACTCATAGATTTCGTCGCAAGGACTAAATTTCAGTAATCTAGTAGGGTAATTCCGGTAGAGATCGACCACCGGGAGAGACCGACCACCACCGATAACTTAACCACACACAACACAACACGTAACAGTAATATAAATTTACAAATTAATTTCAAAAGTTTGTGCAAACTTGAAATTTTGCTGACTGATTTACTGTGTTCGCGATATTTTAAAGACAGGTAAGTTTATTTAAATTGTTTCAATAGTGGATGATAAAATATGCATGAAACTATAACATAACCCCAAAAATGTAGGCATTTCTGATTTTTCCTTCGATTAACAAGGTGGTCGATCTCTCCCGTAACATTGGTAGAGTAGGACCACATCAATCCGGGAGAGACCGACCATGGAAATAATAATAGTAATAATGAAATATTCTGCGGTCCGAAGGAAATTGGTGAGATAATAAAGTTCAATTTAATAAAATAAATTTATTGTAATATAATATTGTTACAGATTAACAGAAATGCCCACGACTTACAAAAGAAAATATGGGGAGAGAGCTAAATGGAGTGCCGATTCTTTAAGAAATGCAATTGAATGTGTACAAAATCGTACAATGGGTGTAAATGAAGCCGCCAGACAATTTGGAATACCTAAAACAGCGCTAAAAGATAGGATTAAGAAGGGAGACGCAATAAAACAACACAGGTTAAAAAAGTGTTTCTTCGTTAACATCAAGTGAGAAGGGCAAAACGATTTCGGTTATAGCGTGCTGCCATGCAGAGGGAATGTTTCTCCTACCTTACTCGATATTTAAAGGTAAAAATAGAAAAGAGGAGTTTTTAGAAGGTATGCCACCTGGCTTCCAAATTTCTATGTCGGAGAAATCGGCGTATATCAACGCTTCCATTTTCAAGGATTGGTTGGAGTTTCACTTTTTGCCAAGAAAACCAGCTGGAAAAGTGTGGCCATACTTCTCATACCAATTCTGTGGAAAAACTGGAATTTTGTGAAGCTAATGACATAATTCTACTTTGTTTACCAAGTCACACGACTAGTTATCTACAACCGTTGGATAGGTCCTTTTTTAAATCTCTGAAAAACCATTACTACGCGGTTTGTAACAATTTTTTAAAAGCAAATCCAAGTAGGAAAATAACAAGGATAATTTTTGTAAATCTTTTGCCACAAGCCTGGCGCAAATCAGCGACTGTGGAAAATGGGATGTCTGATTTTAGAGCTACAGGCATTGCAGCCTTTAACCCAGAAGTTATTCCAGGTTACGCTTATATTAATATTCAAATGGAACAAGATGCAGAGACCAGGTCTGGTTCAAATAGTAACGCTAAAAATCCACCCTCCCCTTCGACTCCGCCCCGGTCCCCTACCGTTCAGGTCACTAATACTCGCAACTCTGCCTGGTTGTTCGCACGATCCTGACAGTGCAGTAGTTGAGATTTACCCCACACTCAACTCTACACCAGCAAAATTGTTGGAGAACGTGCTTTCGCCAATTCCAAAAACTAGCGCAAAAGTAGTAGTTAAAACACAAGGTAGGCAGCTTGCAACTATTTTGAACAGTTCACAACGTATTGAGTTTCAGAAAGATAAAAAGAATACAAAGAAAAAAACGAATGTCCAGTTCAGAAAAGAATGTGGTTAAACAGAAAAAACTATTAGAATATTCAGATTCGGAGAGCGAAAGTCCAGTATTGCAGGAAAGTGATACATCAGCAGATGAATGGGACTATTACTAATGCGTAGGATGTGGGGAAAACTATTATGAAACCAATAAGAATGACGAATGGCTCAAATGTGTGAACTGTAGTCGTTGGTTCCATAATGGATGCTCAAAATTCGAGAATATTTGCGATATATGCGGAAAAGTGAAAAAGAAAAGTCGAAAAAATTAAATTTATTTATACGCTTTAATTCTACGTTTATTATTATACTGTTCTAAAATGTTTTGTTATTTTGTGTTTTGTTATTTTTCGAAGTCGACCTCACCCGTAGTTGGTGGTCGGTCTAACCCGGACATCCGGGTCAGATCGACCAGTTACAATGTTTGAACTTTTAGTTCAAAATAAACATTTGTGATTGTATTATATCTTAAATTGTAATTTATTTACTATCCTAACCCTTTAGGTAATGCTTCAACAGTTAAAAAATATGTACCTCAGAAGCCAAAAAATTTACAATATTTTTTCCGAAATGTGGTCGATCTCTTCCGGACTTACCCTATTTCTACAATTCTAAGACACCCCTTCAAAACGTTAAATCGTTTTAAACGTTATCTGATAAGAACGTTTAAACGTAAGTAATCGTTTGGTCAAATATACGGGATACACAAAACTGTTTTTACGAAAACGAAGTTTTGCCGATTAAACGCTTAACGTCGAGCCCTAGATAGCATCCCGCAAGTACAGACTTCAAAATTTTAACACACTGCTAGAAGATTATTGCATGTACAACCGTGTATAGATCTTCACTGCGACAAAAACATCAGAATTATACAAAATGCAATAAATGTACAATGGAAAATGCCCTTTCTATATACCTTCACTTTCAGTCGCACCAGCGACGTAGCGTTTCCGCGCTAGACACCTCATGTCGAACTCCATTAATCCGTTTGGGCATGAGAAATATATACGAGGTCTGTAAATTAAGTGATGAGACTAGCAATGTAGTGTTCGATCTGGCAACACTGGAGGCGTCGGGCTTGGAGGAGAGACAGGGGAACATGTGATCCGCTTTCAGTACAGGTTTGAACTCGCTCGAGTCATTTGGTTGTCCGTAGCGTTATGATTTGCTGTGTTTTTTATTATGCTTTTATCTGAATTATACTCCAGGGTCTAAAAGCTGTACCCATTATTTATTAGTATGGGAAAAGCAAAGAGAGTTGGTAGATACACACGAATAACGTCTGTTGATGTGAACAGCATATGTGAACATCTCTCAATATAATGGTTTCAAGAATCGGGAAATCTAGTTCCACGTTAAACGACTACGGTTGGATTAATGAATTGTGCAAGGCTTTCACGACCATCATTTAAAGTATCAAATTTTTTTGGGCTATTAGGCACGTGTTTAACCAAGATACGACGGGTTGTCCATAACTACACTACTAGTGTTACTGACTGGCAGGGGTATTACGTATCTTGAAAAGTGACATTATGTCGATTTTTTCTGACATTGTGTTGGTTTTTTTGTGACATTATGTAGGTTTCACTGGGCTTCACAAAACGTATGCAACCGACAATGCGTGTAGTTGAGTAATTCCTCTATAGATGGGCGCTCACAACGATCCTAGTGAGCAAACGTCGAATGACTGTTTGCACCCTAAAAACTACCTAGTCTGCAAGATGACATTTTATAGTTTACTACTTGAACTACTTGAAATTCTTCAAATCCGTAGGATCCATACTTCTAAATAACAACAACAATATTGAAGTATATTGGTCAAATAGTTTTTTGAGAATTTCTAATTGTTTATCATAAAATACCTGTTTTCCGGCCATAACTACTAATTTATTGAGCAATATACAGGGTTCGCTCAAAGAACATTTAATAGCAAAATACACGAGTTTGCCTTGCTGATATTAATCACAAACTATTCCGAAAGATAAATGTTATTTTTATGCGAAAAACGAAGGTTACGTTTTTTTCTTCTAAACAAATTCAAACATTTCGTATTTGTGAGTAATTGAACAAATGCGCTACGATATTCGAAAAACATACGTTACTATACACATTTTAAAACAAAGCGAAGCAAATGATTGAATCTGTTTTAGAAGAAAAAACGTGAGCCATTCTTTTTTGCATCCAATTTTGTTTTGGTTACTTAGAAGGACGAATCCTACGAATTTGAAGAATTTCAAATATCTGCGAGAAACCATCGTCGCATTACCAACAAGTGCCAAAACCTGCAGTATTCTTCAGTTTTCGGCCATTACTTTTTTGCTATTGGTCGGTTCTGTTTACGTATGGTCTCGTTTTGTAGCTCTCATAAATACCTAAAAATCTTATATAAATACTTTTTTCGTTTCTGCCAACACTTTCGATTGAATTCCATAAAGCACGTTTTCTCATTCATTGTTGTCGAATGAAAAGTTTTCTCACAAAAATTGGTGTATCCATTTTATGCGTCCATATTTGAAATACCCCCTTGACCAACTTGCAGCAATAAAACCAGACTACAATTATTTCGCAAACCAGGGGTAATATGATTAGACTAACATACCACTCGATGATCAGCTATCTGCGTTGTTGTTGCCCCATCATAAAAAAACGAAGTACCTAAATAAAATCGTAAAAGTATTTTGTGTCGAAAATGGATCAGGGAGAGGGACTGGGAAATGGGTGTTCTCCAAATGCTGAATAAAGGACCTCTGGTAGAGGATACACTGCCTTACACGCCAAATTGGTTCTGAAGTTATTCTGATTTTATCTAACACAGCTTATTTGGCGTTCCTGTTTTTATAGGATTAGTTTTTTACTGCAATCATATTTCTTATACTCGTTTAGTATTATGTCACACAACTCGTTTGACCATGACATCTTTTATGTTTTTCAATGTACATGTAGAATAGCATAAAGCATAAGCAGGGAAGCTTCGCGAAACTGATGAACACAACTGATCACAACTGATGAAAGTGCTATTATACTAGGCTTGTTTTTGTCAACCAATTATCATCTCATCTAACCATCACAAAACATCAATAGAATATCAAGGAGCAAACACAAGACATGTAGTTCCTTGTCACGTAGCGCTTATATCAGCCATTGTACTGCTCCAGTGCTCACGTTTACCTTAAAATTATTTAGAACAGTTGTACTAAATGCTGTCATAAAAGTACTGTTTTGTGTCTTTTATATGGTATAAAGACTTATAGTTGTAGTTTTTCTAGTTGAACTGATCATCAGCAGTCTATTGTACAGGGTGTTCCTCAATGATATGCGAATATTTAAGGGTGTGAATCTACATGAAAAATCAATGTTAGTTTGCTTTATAAACTATGGTCTAAAAATGTTTCCTTACAAAAACTCGGCGTGTTGAAGTTTTAGGAAAAAAACTGGAAATTAATTAATATTTTCAGAACCGCTTGAGATATTTCACTGATGTACGATGTGAAAGTTAATAAAGTTGCAAATTTTTCAATGCAAGAATAATTTTTAACTTTAATAGTGGCGTGCGTAGGGGTATTGACTTCGATATTTTTTAAGAAAAAAATGGTACGCCAATAGTTTTTTTGCCAAATAAAAATTATTTTTGAATTCTCCGTTCAATTGAAAGCAAATGATCTCTCTTGAATTATTTTCCTTCGATGGGCCATTTGTGAGTAAAAAGATAAAAACCATTCTATTGTCCCCGAAAATTAATGTACTAATTGAAGAATGTAATTTAGCAATAAATATCTAGTTGCTCTGTAATATGTCACTGGCTTTTGACGTCTGACATGTCTCTGTTTTCCAAATCTGTTCACTGTGACATCTTTTTCATTCTTTAGTGTTTTTAATCTTGTTAATAATGGTGAATCATTCAAATGCAGAAATGGCGGAAATGCATTACGTATATGGCCTTGCCGACGGTAATGGTGAGCAAGCCAGACGGATTTATCACCAGAGATATCCCGATCGTGCTTTGCCAGATAGGCGAACCCTTTCTAATATTCGTCGTCGTCTTGTTGAAACTGGTTCTGTCCAAAAAGGAACATCTGAAGGTAGACATCTAAGAGCCGTATCGTCAGTCGTTCCTA